GATTACTGAATCATTTTCTTCATCATTTCAGAAGCTATGCAGTCACTGTCAGGGATACAAAGCCAGAATTGTGTAAAAATTTGAAAAATAAATACAGGATTAATGCTTACAGTTTTGATTTAATTTCTTATTGTTTGGTTAAGGCATTTAAGGCCAAGTTTAATATAAAGTTCACATCGCAATCCAAAGAAATACCAATTATTAATAGGAAAATGTAAGGAAAGAAATAAAATTAACATATGCTCAACATATGTTCAACATATGAACACAAACATATGTTCATCATATGATCATACAAAACATATGAATAACATATGTTAAACATATAATCAACATATGTTTAGAAACGTATGTTTAACATATGTTGCTCGTTTTTTATGGCGAACATATGTTTCGGAACATATGTTAAACGTATGTTAAACATATGTTCAACATACGTTGCAATTTTACCTGTGTACTTTGTAGTTTCTGAAAAGTGCTGCTGCTTTGAATAGAATTCGCGTTTTGATAGATAAATTTTCAAGTAAATAGGCCAATGTAAAAAAATATTAGACTTTTACCAAATATTTTGTGTACTTATGAAATCACGCCCGATCGATTTAAAGAAAGCACTAGTACTTTTCCAGTTACGGATAAATATCGTTTATCTATATTCAAAAAATGATTAAGGTCTATGTAGTGTATGCCCTTGCGAAAGTACGATTTTATGGTGCATAACGATGTAAAATATAAGTAACCTGTACATAAAAAGCACGAATAATTAATAAAATACATTCTCTTGGTATTTAATTAATAATCGCACTAAACAAAGGCTATACATTGGTATTAATCTATTATTTAAAACCTGTAAATAATATTTCTTTTAATAATAAAACGCATTTTTCATTGTTAAAAAAAATCCTCAATCTGCCTCTCACAGCACATGAAGTACGTCATTTTTACCAATATGACGTCATGTTTACAAGTTCATCGCAATCACTGCTTTGTTCAAAACCAGCTGTACGGGATTTACCTAGCAACTTTTTTTAATGCATTGATAAGTTTAATTGTTTTTTATTATTCTAATACAGTTAAAAGTTGCAAATTATTTCATTTTCAGGTAATATTATGATAAATACATAAAAGTCATATTTTTTGTGTGACGTCACAGTAAACTTTTCCCGTATAAATTAGGCCCCGTCCCCTAATTCAAGCCTTAACAATGCTGCGTTACAGGTATCATGATTCTATAGTTCTACCTGAGCCCTTACCTGTCTCTAAGAATAGACTGGGCCCAAATGTGCATCCTCAGACTTTCATAGTCTATTGATGGGTCGGTCTGAAAGAAAATAAATGCTGAAAACTCTGGGGTTTAATATAGTCTTCAATAAAAAATTAAAGGCACAATTCTTATCCATATTTGAATATCTCTGTTCTTATATTTTCAGAGGTATTCAAAAAATACATTAAACTGGAAAAGGAAGCTATCTGTTCTTAAAATCTATCTTCTACAAAAAAATTGAATCTTCTGAGACATTAATAAGTAAAGATACCCCCGTCTGTTGTTTATTTATTGCTCAAATTCCTATGTACATGTGCATTTAATTAACTTTTTTTTATTATACTCACATTTTTATACATTTACCTTGTCTATGTATTGTAAGAGATCCAGTGCTTTCTTGAAATCATATTCCGTGGCATCAATGTTTGTTCCTGAGATGTATAACTGGAAAAAAAATAAATAATACAATAAAATTTACAATATAAGCATTTAATGGCAAGAGAATACTAAATGTTTTGTACAATTTTTCTTTATAGTCTACAATCAATAGAGACAGAAATTAAGGTGGAAGTCCCCACTGATACATACCTCTATCAGCTGTACAGGGGAGAGAACTCTCATATTGTTTGGCTCTATGCCAAGGTTCTACAAGAAAAATGATTTTTGTTAAAATTTACTATTTCATTATTCCAATTTTTGTTAAATTGGATTTGTGAGTTAATTGATATAAGATGAACATAAATAGAAGATAAGAAGATAAAAACATATTGTTATAAAACAATAGTTAATATATAAGTTAACCTCTATGACAAGGGCAGGTAACTGCTGCTGATGGGCAATTAATTCTTGTTCTTCATTGATGTCTGAAATTAACAAAAAGTAAAATAAATTTAAACATAAATCCTGTACAATAATGTACAGTAAATACATCATTTTATACTTCAGGCAAAGAAAGCAAAAGAAGAAAATGTTTTTTTTCTGTGTCAGAATTCTTTAGTATCTAAGGACCATTCAAAAATAATTTCAACCGAGCTAGTTTTTTGGTTGCTATATTAATTTGTAAATGGACTACAGTGGCAGGAACGTTATTGTTGACAACTTACACGAACGATTCCGCACGACTAACGCACAATTAAACCTGTTACACGAACGATCTTTCACGTTCACGATTCTACACGTTATTCGATCTTGCACGATTGTTAACGCAAACGCACGTTTCTTTACTCAAAATAGTTCAAAATATTTAGGAATTGATATTTTCAAAACGAAATAAAGCTTAATAATTATTTAAGATTTCAAAGAATTATTAATATTATTTCATAGACTTTGAAAAAAAAAAACAGAAAATGATATTTTTGTAACTAAATATATGCAAGACTGAATATTTCAGATTAAAAATGATTATTTTTAAGGTAATTCTCCGATCAAAGAAAACGGATTTTGTTCGTTCTATTAGATTAGACGATATACATGTATGTGGGTCGTATAATTTGATTAAATTGGATATCATGATATGCAGAAAGGAGGATACGATTCAACAAAAATGGCAGCATTGAATGACTTAATTTATAATTACAAATTTTATCCTTATGATTCCATTTATTCAATGTGTGATAAACTTGCCAATTATTCAACTTTTTATTTGCAGAAATTTAAATTTATTAGTTTCAAATAAGCTCAAGAGATAAACACAGATAATCAAAACTCCCGAAAATCATGCCGTGTGCATGTATATTTGTCGACTAACTATACTATGTAGCAATGTAAGCATTGAGAAATGTTTATTTCTTTGTAAAAAAAAATATTTATTTTCAATGAATTGATTTCGAGATTATCTTGAACACAATAAGAAATAAATAATAACTAAATCAGATTTTTCAGAAAGGCGTAAGAGATCTAAGTACGGTTTAACACAATATCAATCGGCTTATTTGACGAGGACTTAATATTGTACGACTTACTATATTGCTTGTTTACGAGCGATAATTAGTTCGTTCTGCATTCTATTATGTAAATTGCACTTTTTCATTTTATTTTGATTTTATATAATTTATTAAGAAAAACAAACAAGGGAAATGCATATTTTAGAAATAACATTCTGATAAAAACTTACAAAACGAAATTTACACGATTCTAAAAGCACGATCTCGCACGATTAAAAACGCACACGAGTGAGTCTGATACACTAACGAACTTAAACGAACGATCACTCACTATACACGAACGATTCTACACGATTGGTTTGTCAACAATAACGTTCCAGCCACTGTAAAATGCAACTTTTTAATAAGTAAATTACTGTACATTTTAATAACAATGTTATTATTTTTTTTTTGGTAAACAATAGCAACCTCTTCCTGATATTATAACATAATATTATAATAGAAATTAGAGCATACGACTTCATCAAAGGTTCTTAAAGGTTCGTTTCATGAATTAAATGTTTTACTGAACCCATGTGGTAAGAATAATGTCTTATACACTTAATTTAAAATACGAACCTCCATTATCTGACTATTAATACCTACCTAGTACATGTATGTTATTGTCTATATCTCCATTATCTGACTACTAATACCTACCTAGTACGTGTATGTTATTGTCTATATCTCCATTATCTGACTACTAATACCTACCTAGTACATGTATGTTATTGTCTATATCTCCATTATCTGACTACTAATACCTACCTAGTATGTTGCTGTCTATTTCTCCATTATCTGGGACAGCTGCTAGTCCGGCCAATTTACTTAGACTTAACAGTGTCTACAAAACAAAACGTACGACTACTCAGTCAGTCAGGGACATAAACACATAACTGAGGTGTTATACTGACAAATTCGATAATGTTCTTAAGCAATCTTCTACACAATACATAATATTAATAATTTTATTATATAATTAAACACTTACCTGTCCAGAAGAAAATTAAACTTTAGATTACATGATTAAAAAGCATGATAGCATCTAAATGAAAAGTCCATCTTTCTTTCAGTTTATTATTAAACACTCTTGTTTATTCAAGAAAAAAAGGAGGAGGATCAAAAGAGAAGTTTTCCTGACTTAATAAGATACATGTTCCAACTAAATGCTTTATTAACCACAAAACCTACATCTGTCAAACTATAAATGAAGTGTTTTACTCACAAATTTGATAATGTATATATACATGAACATGTGAAAATAAAAAGATCAAACAACATTTGTCTTCAGCAATTTTTTAAGCAATACATTCACATTTAGTTGTTACAATACCTGTCCAAAGAAAAATAAACTAGTTAACATTGTCTACAAGTTTATAAAGCATGATAGCATCTACAAATGACAAGTCCATCTTCCTTTCATTATTTATTATCATTGTTTATTATAAGCACATTGTTGTTAATTGAAGAGGTAGAGAAAACATTTCCTTTTTTCATAAGAGAACAGGTTTTAATGAGTAATAAGATATCAAATAAATGAATTATTATCAACAAAACCTGACCTTTTTCTTTGCCAAAGAGCCCTGCTCCATTTTGCCCAACTCTAAAAGAGTGGCGTGGGCCTGAAAATAAAAGAAAATACCAGATCAAACTTTCCATAAACACACGATGACATACTGATGCACTGTTAGGGCAAAGGGAAGGATATGGAAATAACGAACAGCACTCAATCTCAACGTCCATTAAACAAATAAACAAAATAAGAGCAGAGCAAACACGGACCTCCGAAACATCAGAGGTGGGATCAGCAAAACATTGCTAAGATTTAACCCCTAGGTCATATGAGGTGAAAACAAATACTGGATACTCCGTAAAATCTGCTGAAAAAACAACCTATCTAAAGATTTGGCATAGGTTACAATTTGTTTATGCTTTTAAGCAGGTCAAATTCCAGGATTAATTTAATGGATTTAAAGGGGTTTCTTTGAATTCAAAGGTAATTGGATGTCCAGATATGATTTACCTTAGAGAAGTTGTTGGTCTGTATATTGTGGAGCCAGCTAAGAGATTTAATGTCCTCCTTTTGTAGAAATCTACCAAGTTCTCTCTGTTGACTGACTGGTAAAGCCAGGAGCTTTCCTCTCTTACCTTAACATACAAACATTAACAAATCACATACATGTGAAGTTTTATAAATATCAACTATGTATAAATACCTTCCTTCCTGTTCAGATTTCATATTTATTCATCAGAGTTATGCCATCTACCTTCTTTCATGTACCATGTGTATAGGAAATTTGCAAAACCCTGAAAAAATAAATATTCTAATTAATTATTTTCAATAATTGTTACCATTCTTCATTATATCTAAAACTCTTTACTCTCAAACTCCATTAAAATAAATTGAAAATTATTTTTATTAATTGCATGAAACATCTGTCTGTGCAGATAGAAAATGTGTACCTTGCGAGAGAAATGATGTAGATATTTCTCTATCCTGTCTATTTATAGACATACTGTAAACCAACTTATTAGCGCAAGAGAAATTTTCTTGAGATTCGCTAAAGCTTTGTCATCGTGAATATATCTCGTCGCGAACAGGTCCTTCAAGTCTTTTTTTTTTTTAATTAAAAACAGTTCCGAAAACGGCTTGATCTTGAAAATTTATTGTTGCGAATTAGTTTACTCATGGTAAATGGCAAAAAAAAATTTGTTTACAGTACCTTGACAGAGAACTGATGTAGATATCTCTCTATTCCGTCTATTTATAGACATACCTTGTCAGAGAACTGATGTAGATAATTCTCTATCCTGTCTATTTATAGACATACCTTGTCAGAGAACTGATGTAGATATTTCTCTATTCTGTCTATTTATAGACATACCTTGTCAGAGAACTGATGTAGATATTTCTCTATCCTGTCTGTGTTGTGTGATAACTCACACAGCTGAATCAGGATTTCAAAGTCACAATATTTCTCGGCTAGGGACGCCGCTAACTCGTACTGCTTCCCCTCCACTGTCAACAAAGAATGGTTAATCGAGTAATTATTATGAAAATAAACCATGCAGTGATCAAGGGACAATTAGTTAAACTTTTATAGAAACAGTAATACTTTATGAAATACAAGTTGATATACATTTCTCTTGACTCATCAGTAGTTTATAAATAATAGACAAATTAATATGTAAATAGCATTGCATTTATACTTTAAAAATTCTACTTTTAAATTATTTAATAGATAAGGATGAAATAAAATTTTCGGATGGATTTGATAAATAATTTCCCTCTTTATTTCAGTAAGTTTTATATTTCTGATCATTCTCTATTTTACAGACATACATGTACTCTACTCTTCACTCCATATAACAATAAGAACTTACTGAGAGGCATAATCAGCTGTTGTCTGTCCTGTTCGTACCGTCGCTGTAGTTCGTTGAAGTGCTGTCGTCTACTGACGTTATTTTCTAGCGATTCTAACTGACTGACGTAACCGTCCAGGACGATATCAGCGATGGCTGCCAGCTGTTGGTAGATCTTCTCCTGACCCTCGGGGTCACGGATTTCAGGGATTACCACCTCTATAGTCTTACTGAACTAAAAATAACACAGTCATTTAATAAACACTTAATCACCACCTCTTCATCTTAACAAAATAAAATAAATAAAAAGAACTAAATGAATCACGGCTTCTACCATCTTACTGAACTAAGATAACCCAGAGACAAATGCTAAACAATAAATCACTACCTCTATCGTCTTACTGAACTAAAATAAATATAGTAGACATTTTCTCACTCAGTAGGTGAATATCAATTTCTTTTCTATCAATTTCTTTTTAAGGATCCCTCAATAGAGCATTTAAAAGTTGTGTGACTTTTTTGTAAAAAATTAATTTAGTAAACCGTATTAAACCTGTTTAACAAGGAATGTCCTGATCCCATGGTCCCCTCCTGTAGATGTCCAGGGTATGTATTCTGGGACGTCCCCTTGAGGGGCCTCACATTCGTACATTGTGGATTTGGTCTGACGATACTGTAGGGCTTTATGTAACATTTCCTGTAAATTAAACATAACAAATAAACAGCATAGACAGTCTCTATATTTTAAATTAAAGTTATTTTAATCTTCTCAAAAAGATGTGATGGTGTCTAATAGTGGGGTAACTTAAAAATATGGTGCATTGATAGACAAAAAATCCTTGTTTTCAGGTGTTATGAAAATTTAATAAAAGATGTACAGAAATATACATTGTACATGAATACCGCAAAAATAATATGGGGCAAACTAGATTCTATCAATATTTACCTGTAATATTGTGTTGACTGATGTAATGACGGTGAGAATCTCCGTTACCGTGACGTCAGCCATCAGTACTTCCTCCTGATACGCCAACAAACACTCGACTACTTCCTGTATCCTTGACACCTGTAACAGGTAACACACAAATAGAAAATCATGAAACGTAAACAGGCAACACACAAATAGAAAATAACGAAACACGCCCACTTCTCTATAAAATAAGTCTAGTGGGGTGAGGTTTAGTACATACCTCTCTGTAAAGCAACTCTTGTGGTGTCAGATTTAATACATTTATATACCTCTCTATAAAATAAGTTCTTTGGGGTCAAATTTGGTACATACCTCCCTGTAAAATAAATCCTGTGGGGTCAGGTTTAGGGAAATGTTGACGTCTCGTCTCATTTCCAACACTTTCTTTATGGCTGCATCCACTATACCAGTAAACCTATGGAGGTTTTTGTATTCCGTCAATTAACTCATATAAAGCACACATTATTTTTGCTAAGTAACTTCTTTCATATTGGTATAACATTAAAGAAGGTTTCAATTTGTGGCATTAAAAAGTCACATGTCTTTTTATAGATACATGAAACTCCATCATGGTTCACAAATTATGTGTCTATCATTTTATAAATACTTACTCCCCGTGTAATTGCTGTTTTGCAATGGCGGCCTGTACTTTTTCTGCATGTTCACACATCACATGTCTATAGAGAATGATACTCATACTTACTACATGTCTATTTATAGATACTTACTCCCCATGTAATTGACGTAGTGCTATGGCGGCCTGTACTTTTTCTGCGTGTTCACACATCACATGTCTTGTCAACATCCGTGTGTCCCGTATGGTTACTAGATTCAACTGCAATTCATAAGAATTTATTCTTTAGAAAAAAAAAGTAAGGAACCCCTATACTCAGTTGTTAAAACATCATCTTTTGTTGAAAATGGCATAAAATACAAAGAAAGTCAACTACCTCCAGGCAAAAAAAGTTCTCCCTAAATACTTAAATTTCTTTAAATTTAAGGACCTATGGTCAAAATAACTCTCTAATCTGACCTTGTATCCCCTGACCCTCACCTGTTCCCAGAGACTCATCTTTTTGAGGAAGTTGATGACGTACTCGTGAGCTCTGAGTTTATCTGTCAGCTGGTTGATGATGATTAGTGAAGTGGTGCTACTGGTGGCATCTACAAACAATAAATGATTATCAAGTTTCTCATAAAGACCACCATGAATCAATAATTCTTTGTACTAGTCACGATAAATGGATGTTAATCTCTCATCAATATAAAAGGCAAAGATCCCATACGAGCTTCACGACAATTTGCCCTTTGACGTCTCACCTTGTCTAGACTCCGCCCAGCGTGGATCAGAGGCGGGAAAATCATCCACGAGATCTCTGTCAAGGGAGACAACTATCTGATCTAAATCTGTGGACACTTCATCAGGGGGAAATAACTCATCAATGGTTGACTGGGCTGCAGCCTATAGATATAATACATGTACACATTGAAGCTTGAGAATGATATAACACAAGCATTCTCAATTTATAGTCACAAATCGATCTTGGTAAAAGTAAAAAAAATTAGTGAACTGAAATTAACACTTTTATACGTCATTTGAAACATGAAAGTGTACTGTTATTAAAAATCGCAATTTGATTTACATACTTCATGCATTGTTTTGTTGGCCTCCTTCGAAATCAAAGCAGTTGGAGGGCTAATTTTACACTAAGATATTTACGTGATGTTGAAAAGCCATATTTGGAAACGAAAGACTTTTTTTAAAATACAAAATTAATATAATACACATCAAATTTTGTTAACTATAAACATTCATGAAACGTTTAAGCACATTTGTAAAAGGGGTGTACAATCTTTGATTCAATTATTAGTAAAAATAAAAAGGACATAATTTTCATTTAAATGAAATCATTTTCTTTTTATTTTAACAAGTTTTAGCACATTCGATGATTAACTTAATAATGATAATATTCCCTAAAATGCTACATTAATTTATTCTTTATTATATGCCCAGAGAAATGCACATTATTTAAAATATTAAAAAGTTAAATATTTCGCCATTACCTGTTTACGAAGTGTTTGTTTAATATAACGTAAATATCGCACATAGATATCATAAAAAAATAAAAGTATATTCGGGGGGAAAATGATAATATTATTTCAAATTATTGAATTTTATGAATTTTCTAATCTGTGTTCTTACAAAGGGTTGAATTGAAAATTCAAGTTATAAATGATTTATCTATAGAGGACTCATGTAATTCAGACCCCCCTTCCACCATTTAATCTGTTGATTATTTCAAATGCAGTCATTCACATAGCATCGTTTTTGAAAGTGTATGTGTGTGTGTTGGGGGGAGGGGGGGGGGGGTAGCCAGAGAATTTTTTTTAATTACCTGGAAAGTTGACAAGGCAAAAAAAAGGCAGGGTCTTTTAAAAACTTGCTCAAAGTCGAAAATTTTATAGGGGGGAGGCGATTTTTTCAAAATGCCAGGTATTTTTTATTCTTATTACAATATATTGTATTTTCAGTATATTAGTGGGGAGTGGGGGTAGAGCAACCAGCCTTTCGCTGAACATTTAAATACTGAAGTTGAGCTAAAATGATGCTTAAAAGTGTACAGGCCAAAATCAAGGTTTGTTGACTACATACCAGAAATGCTTAATTCATTTGTGAAAATTTTATCGTCAAATTCAAAATTAAAACCTTATTACCACCCATACAAAAGTTGGTCAATAATTACTGTTGCACATCACATTTGCTTGGAATTACATTCTACTTTCATATAACGTAAATTGAATTTTCAGTACCATTAAAGCTGACACACACATACCTCCTAAGTCATATGTCTATGCAACAATGCAAATGGGAAAACTTAGGTGCAAATTTCATACATGTTAATAAATGTATTTCTTGCAAAGCAAAAAAAATGGAAATGGATTTAATTTCAACCAGTATCTTGACACACAAAAAAGCAACAGCCGTTTTTAACTGTAATTGATAGTGTATGAAAGGCATGCAACGCAGTGTATTTTCTGGAATTATATTTCCTACAGAAATGATATAAAAATCTAAAAAAATTTAATGTATATAGAGGATTTTAGTGTAATATAACCATTTTTTTAAAAAATATTAGATATAAGTTCAAACAAACAGCAAAAAATATAGAAGAAAGTTTAATAATAATTTAAAAATAATAATAATAATGCTTTATTTAATGAATATTAACCAATTACTCAAAGTACTATTCTTCATTAAACCACGGGGCCTTCTACAATTGAATAATATCATGTCAATTGTAATTTTCAAATCATACGGATGCACAGTATATTGAACAATGATAAGCTTATTTTATATCTTCATAATCGGATGTAATGTACAAATTAAAGTAATGGAAATATAGGAGAATAAATAAGTCAATATACAAAGTTTAAAGACGTAGTAATAACAATAACAAGACATTAATAATAATGAAAATTAATACTTATTTACTGATTATAACTTTTTCAAAATTCGTTCTAAAAACAGACAAGGATGGTGATAATTTAACATGTAATGGTAGATTATTCCATAAATGTACACCTGATTCAATGATATCCATGTTTTTCTTGCAATCTAAGCTGTACTTTAGATGTTCAGAAATTTTATATATAATTTGGATGAAAGTAAAAAAAAAGGTTTAAAATTTGTATTGCATTTCAGACTTGGTTTATTATTCTTCAAATTGATAGATTCATCACAATCTTATATGGGGTTTGAAGTTAGTATTTTAGAACACATTGTTTCTCCGAGACAGCACAGTTAAAACTTTTTCATCTTATTTCATTGATATATTGTCCCTTTTCAAAAAAGCTTTGTGAAAGAAACAGCTGGGAAACCACAGGCGAAACTTAAAGTGGCACAGTGACGCACAAAGGGGAAAATTGACAAATGATTGAAATGTAGAATTTTCCCATGACCTCTGTAAATTTTGTTCAATTCCTAAAAGTACTAGGTTTCAGAAAATTACAGGTTTCAGAACCTAAAAATTAAATTTTTATGGGGAAAATAAAAGTAAAAATAATTTCTGTCTGCCCCAGAACGAAAATATTGCAAAATACCCGGGTACTTCTTCCTCCCTATTATACGCGTGCGCAGAAAAGAGTTGAATAAGTTTCCATAGTTACCATGATCTCAGGTATCCACGAATGAATATACTCAGTAAGCAGACCAAAAAATTTGATGTAATCTTTTTAAAAAGTTGTTAGAACATATTTCTCACCTATGCATGCTCCAGTTGAATTTTGTTTACAAGTTTGAGCTAAAAATGTGACCTTGACATATACGAAACAACGAAACGGTAGATACAACCTTCGTTTTTCCGGCACTTATATTGTGCAGTCAATTCTTGCAGTTTAATTGTCAAATCTTCGCTATATACTCATAATTTTCGTAAGTCTTTCTCTGTATGCTCAGATATCTTAAAATTAAGGTATGATTTTGAGTTAATGATTTAAAAATTCTTTTTGGTTTAAAATAAAAACTACACGATGATCGGCGACAGTAACGTAAATATCAATTTCTGTTATAAAATGTGATTTTCTCCTATGACAATCATTCAAGCCACAACAAACAATTGTTGTATTTTAATCAACAACCAACAAAGGTTCGTAAGACTGGCAGAAAATAAAATTTATTTGAAATATTATATTACTTAAAACGCGGTACATTATTTAAAGCGAATTGAGACTATAAATTGAGAATGCGTGAACAAAGTCTGGAGAATAAAAATCTAAAGCATCATGGGTTTACCCTGAAGAGATGCTAGAGGCTTGGTACACTGATCATTATACCTTTTAATGCTCCAATCAAAACTATTACTAAAACCATCACAATGTACAAATAAAGGTCCATGTATAAATAATAATATGCTTTGCTGATACTTATTATCATCTTTGCTCATTGACATAAAACAACAATTTAATGTTATATAACAACAAACCA